CCTTCCTTCCTTCCTTCCTTCCTTCCTTCCTTCCTTCCTTCCTTCTTCCCTCTCTCCCTCTCTCCCTTCCTTCCTTCCTTCCTCCCTCCCTTCCTTCCTCCCTCCCTCCCTTCCTCCCTCCGTCTCTCCCTCCCTCCCTACTTTGCTTCTTTCCTTCCTCAAATATTAAAGTAACTTCCGTGTCTATAGGGCGCCATGCTAGGTGTGTGCAGGGGGGCAATGCCCCATTTAGCTCAGGTGTGAACCTTTGAGCCAGTGTTTAGATGGGCGAGCTCAGGAGCAGGAAGGCTGACTGGGGGACGCTGGGGATTAGGGAGGGCCCGGAGAACCTGGAGGGATTTTCCTTCTGTCACATCTCTGACACTCCACAGTTTCTGAGAATCTGTTCCTCGCTCCTTCCCCCTTCCTCCCTTCCAAGGCACATTCCGCAATGAGACCCTGGTACCTTGTTCGACGGTGCCAAGAAGGGAGGTGATTTCCGTGGGGAACTGCAGGAGGGAATTGCTGATCAATCAGTGTGAGGGTGCCTGTGGGACGTTTGCCAAGTAAGTTGAGGGACTGAGGGTGGGCAGGGCAGGGGGGGCCCCTGGCCTTGGGTGGGACCATTCGTAAAGCTGCAGGGTCCCTGCCTCCTCCTCCTCCTCGAGAGGAGGTAGGCTGGGTTGTCCTGGGAAGCCCCAAGGAGGCAGGGCTGAAGGAAGCTTTGGAACTCAGCTCCTGTGCCTGGGGCCTCTTCCATCTCCCCTGGTGAAAGAGAGCCTGGGATTGGGGCAGAGCTTTGGCTCTCTTTGGGATTTGGTGGGAGGCTGGAGGGAGGGGAGGGAATCCAGGAGACTTAGCTGCTGCGTGGAAGAGTCTGTCAGGGCCTGCGAGGTTGGTGGAGAAGGGGTGGCTAGCCCCTGTTCTCTGCTTGGGCCCTGGGAATGGTGACTTAGCCATTGGCGCCCCCCAGGTACTCAGAAGAGGCCCAGAGCATGGATCATCAATGTTCTTGCTGCAAGGAGGTGAAGACCAGCCAGAAGGTGGTGGAACTGGCCTGTGAGGGAGGGGGCACGCTCTCCCACAAGTACACTTACATCGAGAGCTGTGGGTGTCAGGACACTGTCTGCGGAATGCCTCTGGAGAGCAACAGGAGGGCCTCTCTGAGTCGCACCCGCCGGGCCCTGCGGAGGTCCAGAGCATGAGCGCCTGCCTGGCATGCAGTCACCCTCTTAAGCCGTCTGTCTCTGCATTCTCGAATCCTCAGGACTTCCTCATCTTTCCTTTTATTCTTTTAAAGAAAATATTTATTTTCTGATCGTGTCAAACTCTTTTTACTCTTACCTAATAAAATCATGCAGAGAGACCGTGTGAGTTTTGTGTTGGGGTAAGGGGAAGGATGGTAAGGGTAAGGGTAAGAAGAAGGGCCTGCCACCTGTGCCCCGACAGAAGGCAGGAGCAGGGATGGCGTGAGCCAGACCATGCTGCAGCCCTCTCACTCGCAGAGAGGAGCCTGGGGGGCCCCACCAAGCAGGCAGGCATGCCAAGGGGCACCCCTATAGGCCCTCTCCTCATCAGCTGCCAAGGCCCCACCAAGCTCCAGGGAGCTCTGGCTTGCCACCCCTCCCTCTTTGGAGCTCCCAGGGGTGGGGCAGCTGGAATCCTCCCACGGCTTTGGTCTGGCTGTCGTGGTATCTGTCGTGCTTTCCTGGATCTGTGGGATTGAGCTCCCGCTATGGGTCTGCGCTCCTTCAGGTAAGGAGCAGCCCACCTTCTGCATCTTGTAGGCCCTAGCCCCCAACCCTGGTGCTGAGGTGCTCCCAGAATCCTAAGGGGCCCGGTGGTGGATTACAGATGTTAACAGGACTTTACTGAGCCAGTCTCTATCCTAAGAATGGTGAAATCTGGCTCTCAGCAACCTCGTCTCCTGCTTCTGGTCCTGCCCTTCAGGGCCGAGCGGGACCAGGCCCCTCCACAGGACCACCCTTCAGATATGAGCCCCTGAGCCTTCCCTTCTCCAGGTCTCTATTAATCACCTCTGGATGCTGTCCAGCATCCTTCCTAAAGTGTTACAGATGCCCAGAACTGTGTCCAGTGCTCCTAATTTAGTCTGACCAGGCTCTCGGTGCTCAGTCTGTCTCATCCATTTAGCCAAAGGGAGAGGGTCTTTGGGGAACAGAGCTGGGCTGGCAAACCACACCCCCCCCGCCCAGTGCCTTAGCCCACGGCAGATGCTAAGGAAATACTGGCTGAGTGGACAGTAAGGGGATGTTTCCTTGCGGCCACTAGATGTCACCCCCGGACTCGGGAATCCCAGACTTTGGAGAAGAAAAGGACCTCACAGGCATCTAGCCTGGTCCATGTTAAGTCAGGATGCTCTCTGCCGCATCCCTAGGCTTCTCTGTTCCTTGCAACCCATGGCTAGGCAGCAGAAACAATGTGCCTTTCACCCTGGGCAGGGCAGCCACTGGGGCGGGGATGAGGGGTGGAAGTGAGGGTCTCTGGCAGGAGGCGCCTCTGCAGCCTGCCCTCCCAGTGCTAGGCTGCTCCCTAGCTTTAAGTGGGGGCCTGTCTGTGCTCCCAGTGGACATCCACAGCAGGCCCAAGGGGACGAACAGGTGTGAGTAGAGTATGCAGGCAGGGCTTCCCAAGGGGGAAGTAAATCCTTCGCCTGGATGAGCTATGGGCTCATTGCCCGCTTCAGCCTCCTTCTTACCCTCCCTCGGGGATAAACAAGCCCATATTGAGTCCATGTCTTGGCTCAGCTCTGAATCTTGATGCCTGGGGCCAGGCCACAAGGGTGCCCCATGTCTCCCAGCAGCCAGGAGCTGTGTCTGCCTTGGTCCTTGACTGCCAGACCAAGAAGCTTCTTACTACAGACCCCCTGGTCACCCCTGGCAGGGAGCCAAGACCTGAAGCTTCCTCCTGCCCCTGCCCCTGCCCCTCCCCCGGGGAGGCTGATGGCCTGCCTGGCACTGGGCTACCTGCTACCTTCAGAGGTTAGGATCAAACCTGGCTCCTCAGTCAGGGCCAGCAAGTTAGCAGGCCAATCCAATTCAACAAGCACTAATTAAATGCCTGCTGTATACCAGGAAGTGTGCTCGGCCCAAGGGCACCAAGACAGGAGAGGATGCAGGTCCAAGAGCTTCCATTCTCTAGGGTTGGGGCTGGGGAGGGGGAGCAGCTGAAGCCCCTCAGACTCCAGCACTTTTGGATCTCCTCGGTGGACACAGGCTCTCCTTTGATGTGGATAGCAATCCATCCTGTGGGACTCCCATCCTGGTTTTCCCAGTTTTCAGAGACAGAGAGAAAGAAGAGAGATATGGAGGGAGAGGGAGGGAGGGAGGGGAGAAAAAGAGGGAGGGAGGGAGAGACAGAGAGAGAGGGAGATGTAAATGCTCAATGAGGAAAGAAGGGGAGAGTCCCTGGAGGTGGTAAAAGGAGCTCCCAGGATTTTGATTGGGTGGAAGGTGTGGCTGGTACAGACCTCAGGAGGAGGGATTGTGACACAGAAAATGGGGAGCAAGGAGGATTCCGACTCCCCACCTCTGTGGGGAGCTGAGGGGAGTGAGGGTGGCCCTAGAGCCTCCGTCATGGGGGAGGCTGGTCCCGGGTCTCAGTAACTGCCACACGACGGAAGGAGCGCCAGAGGGAAGGATTTCAGGTGGTGGGGAGTTTGTTGCCCACGGAGCAGGCATTTCAGAGGGCACTGTGCCAGGCAAGATGGAACTTTGGGGTGAGAATGAGGAATGATGAGGTGGGCCATGGGGACAGGTGCAGGGTCACGGGACCACGTGTGACTATGTTGATCCCCTTCCCTGAGGAGGCCAGAGATCATCAGCAGCCGCGTGAGGCAGAGGTGGAAGTCAGCCAGATAGCGGCTGGTCCTGGGGTCCTTCCTCCTCGTTCCTTGTGAACGTGGGAGGTGTGGGCAGATGGAAGGTCCAGCCTCGTCTCTTCTCCTCCCACTGGAGGCTGGAGGTGAGGCCTGAGCAGCAGGAGATAGACGCTCATGCCGGCAGAGCGGCCCCTGCATTCTTCCCTGGACAAGACCCCAGAGGTCGACTAATGCCATGCTCTCCTTCTCCAGATGAGGAAGCTGAGGTCCAGAGGAGGTGACTCAGCCAGGGTGGCGTGGGTCCCATGTAGCATTGCTGGGCCATGGGTCTCCTGCCCCTTCCTGGGCCCAGCAGCATCGAGAGTTCCTAGGGTCGAGAAGCCGGCCGCAGACATGGTGTCTGGCTCATGTCCTTGGTCAGATTCCCACGGAGTCAGGCAGTGACCGGTGGCAGAAGGTCTTGAGCCTGGGGGCCCCGCGCTGCACGTTTATTTGAGAAGCTGGAAAGAACCTCTCCTAATAAATGCCGCTCATGCTGCTGGTTGGCACCTTTGTACAAGCCTGGGTAAGAGGCTGTCGTTGGGGTCCCATCTCTTCTGCATCCCTGAGCTGGAACGTCTCATTTCCTCTGATCAGCCTGTCCCTGGCCACCTGATAGCACTTCATTTACTTACTGGGCACCTCCCAGACTTTGGAGGCCACTTGGAACAGTGCAGAGGTCACAGGGCCTGAGATTGAACCTCAGACCCACCACAGATGCCCTGGGTGACCCAGACTGCTTCACTTTCCTGGGCCTCAGTTTCCTCACTTGTAAAGTGAGGGGTTTGGATCTAGCAACAGATCTGTGACCCTCTGCCTCTTTGACCTCTAGGGTTCCTTCTGGCAATAAAAATACAGGTGAGGGGGCAGGCAGGAGCTGGGGACGAGGCAGGTGTGGGGTCCTTTTAGGCCTGTGGTGGGACTGAAGTTCAGAAGCCAAAGGGACCTCGGGGGTTTTTGTCCAGCTCCCACCTGGGCTACCTGACAGATTAGGGTTAGGGTGGCCTCCAGAGGGGCAGCCCAGCATGTCCACCAGCCATGCCGCCTGCTCTGGGACAGCTCGCACCATTTGGGAGGCTTTCCTGGCACAGAGTCTAAACTGGCCTTTGTGATGTCCCCACATGCTCTCTGGGGCTGAGCCCTTCAGATACTTGAGAACAAAGTCCATTCTCCCCACCTCCCAGGCTAAGTGTGCCTGGACTCCTGGACCTTCCCCATCCTGGCTGTCCTCCTCTGGACACTCTCCAGCTCCTCAGTAGCCTTCTTATTCTGGGGTACCTGGGAATGAGCCCCATCCTCCAGACGTAAGCAGACCCCAGGAGCTGCCCTCTCACTTTCCTAGTTCTGGACACCATCCCTCAGGGAAGACAGCTGAAGATCCAGTTAGCTTTGGGCCTGAAGGCTGAGATTGGGCCTACAGCCCACTAAGACCCTTGGGTATTCCAGGGGCATGACTGCCCATCCGCACCCTGCCCCAATCTTACAGGACCATAGACTTGGGAGGGATAAATATCTTGTACTTGGAACCCAGGTGTAAAACTTCACATTGATTCCCATCACATTTTACATTCCAGAGTGCTAAGATGTTTTTGGGTCCTAACACTGTCCTCCATTGTATCTGTTATTTCTCCCAGCTCTGTATCATCTGAAAATGTGATGCAGAGGCCATCTTGGCCTTGTACAACACAAAATGCTGGCCACCGAAGGAGAAGGCCCAGATCCCTGAAGACCTCCACCAGAGACTTCCTCCCTTGTTTACATCATGCTGGTAACGTCTGTTCTTCAGGCTCAGCGATTTAATCAGGCCTGAACTGTGCTATCAACCAGATCACATTTCTTTGCCTTTTCCCCCACAACGATGATATGAGAGACACTATAAAATACAGTACTAAAGTTGGGGTGGTCTGTCTGAAGTCTCTCCTGATCCCTCTGGAAATTACCTTAGAATGGAATGACCTGTTCTTGAGGAAGCCCAGCTGGCTCTTCAGGAGTGCTGCTTCTGTTTCTGTGTTCTCACTAACCATCCCTCTGATAATGTGTTCTGGCATTATGCCAGGAGCCAAAGTTTTATTCTCTTTTTTGAAGGTGCTGTGCTGAGTGCTGGGGATATACAGAAAAAGCTGGAAGAAAAAGGCCCAGGCCTCCAGGAGCTGTTATTGGAAGGGAGAGACACGATGCATGTGTCCAGCTAGAGGGAAGTGGTGGGTGCTTGTGAGGGCTGAGGTCCAGTGCTCCAAACAACATGGTAGGCTCAGACTTCAAAGAACCAGCAGATCAATTGAATGTAAAAACCGAGTGTGGCTAATTCTTAGGTGCCTCTACTGAATGGTGCAAAGGCCTAAGCCAGGTGGAAATCAGGTGGGGAAG